TATATATATATTTATTTATTTTTTTACAGTTTTGGTTTGATTACTTTTCTGAATATGTTCGGGGTTTTTTCAACAAGGGGCCTTTGTTTGAGTCTGTATAATTTAGTTAATGATTCATCGATTATTAAATTTGTTGATTATTTCAATAATCAGTTCTTTACAAATAATCGGATTAATCATTTCAGTCTGCTGGCCTTCAGTGCTCAGCGACAGGCAGAGTAATCGCTCTGCACTGCTCTGTAGTCAATACAGCAGGAAACAGTTCTGGTCTCTCCAGAACTTTCTTTGGAGTCTTTTTTTAATAACGATTTGAAAGAAAAGGTTGGTGGTTTCAAAGTGGTAGTTTTTTAAAACCTTTGTAAGCCATCCACTGTTATTAATATTTTGGGATTAATTTTAGCTCTACATAGGGCGCTCTTAATGGTTCTTAATGGATAAATAAGATGGTAATGTTTTATTCTCCTCCAGGTCGTACTTTTCCCACCCACCCATACTTCCAAGCACAGCTGGGAGCAGGGCAGCTCTCGCTGTTCAACATACTGAAAGCTTACTCACTGCTTGACCCCGAGGTAAGTTTTTCTTTTTTTTTTTTTTCTTTTTTTTTTTTCATATTCCTCGGTGGAATAAAAGTGAATGTCAGGTTTCATTTTTCTTAGAGGCATAAAAACTCTTACTTACCATTTATCTTGTTGCTGTAGGTGGGCTACTGTCAGGGCCTGTCCTTCATTGCTGGAGTTCTGCTTTTGCACATGGGGGAGGAGGACGCATTCAACATGCTCAAATTTCTGATGTTTGATGTCGGGCTTCGTAAGCAGTACAGGCCTGATATGATTATCCTGCAGGTAAGATGCAGATTATTCCCTTTCTAAAGTCGGTTTGTGCATTCCTCTTTGTTTGTTTTTTCTTCTTTAACGTAGTAAAAATCATCGCTATGATTTATGATGGCTGGCTTGGGTAGAAATTTATTAGGATTGATTCTTTGACACTTGAATTTCCTCATCTGTGAAGGCCAGAGCTAAGCTTTTAAGTACGCTGTTGGTGTGCTGGGTTTTTCTTGGCCTCGAGCGTCTAAGGATGCTCTGACTGCACTGGCAAGATGGTTAGATTAGCATTTGATTTGATCTTTCACTTGGACAAAGCTAAATGCAGATATCACCTGATTTTATTGCATTAACTTGCTCCTATTTTGTTGGAATCAAAACAGTTTGAATAAAAGTGGCGTAAGAATGAGGTTAACCAGGAAGGATGAACATTAAACTGATGCAGCTCAGAGTTTTAGACACAAAACCTGAAAACTAACTGCACCCTGGTGGCAAGTTGCACACATATATTAATAAAATATGTGTTGTAAGATGTTGTTTTTGTGAAGTAACGTCTCCAAAGACATCTGCAGCACTGAAAAAGCACCTTCATTAACCTCCCTGTATTAAAGCACCAGATCTATTAATAAAGTTGGTTTCTCAGTACTTACAGTGTTGCCTCCCCCGGTGAAGATGTGACAGCATCTGTTGTATGTATTTATTAACTAATAATAGTTTGATTACTCACAGTCAAGTAAGAATCTACAAAACTACCAGCATTATAAGACAACAAAACACCTGTGGAAAGATTTGATGTGCAGTAATTTCATTAAACAAATTCCAGACAGTATTTTTTTTTTTTCTCAAACTGTTTTCTTCCTGCAATTTATATTAAACATTAGAGCTAGATGAAGGTTTAAAAACTCAATGTTTGGCTCGTAATGGATTCACTTTTAATTAAATGCAAGGTAATAGTATAACGTGTTGTGGGCCTGTCGGTTTTCCTCCATCAGATTCAGATGTACCAGCTGTCTCGGCTGCTTCATGACTACCACAGGGATCTGCACGGCCACCTGGAGCAGCAGGAGATCGGCCCCAGCCTATACGCCACCCCCTGGTTCCTCACGCTGTTCGCGTCACACTTCCCGCTCGGCTTTGTGGCCCGTGTCTTCGGTAAGATCTGAGACCTTCATGCTTATGCACTTAGAGATTCGGCCCGCACTGTAACTGCTTGTAATCCTCTTGCTGTGACTAAGATAACCACATTTACTGAAGAGTAGAAACCATGTCAGGGAACAGAGAACTTGTAGGTTTAACTTCTCTCTTCTGTTACCTGTCAGGATAAGAGTTTGTGATGGCAGAGATGAGCCTAATGCGTAAATAATAGAGATGTAATGATAGATCCAGATCACATTGGGTTCATAAAAAGAAGTGATTTTAGTTTTGGGAAAAGTAGCCATCAGCTTTTTTTTGTTGTTGTTGTTGTTGTTTGATTATCTACAGATAACAGAAAAGATTATATTTATTCCAGGTGTGACCAGCTCATTTAATCATACTTTCAAATGTATTCATATTTATTGATGCTCTCATTGATCCAACAATGGGGAAAATATTAAAATGAGCAGTTTTGGGGAATTTGTGAAAATGCAATAACAATAAATAAGTTTTTATCATGATAAATATGTAGAGGTGGAATGAATGGGATGAGAGCAGAGGCACGGAGCCCAACATGCGATGTCTGACCTAGCAGGGTGGTTGTTTGTCCCGTCTCTCTGTGTTCCTCTGTGATGGTAACAGATTCTACCCGCCTCTCGGACAGTCGCTTTTTTAGTTAAACTTACATCATCAGACATGGTGTCATCCTAACAAGAACTTGATAATTCTTTTCCACACTGATGTTACATTGACAGTTAATTTATGGGATTAATACTGCAAGAAGATCTTGTTGGATCCGTCCATCCTTTTCAATCCACGTATCCGAGGTCGGGTCGGGTCACAGCAGCCTAAGCAGAGAGGCCCAGACTTCCTGCGCCCAGCCACTTGGGTCAGCTGCTCTGGAGGAATCCCAAGGCGTTCCGAGATCACAGTCCCTCCAGCGTGTCCTGGGTCTTCCTCTGGGTCTCTTCCTGGTGGGAAATGTCCAGAACGCCTCACCTGCGTCCAGCAGGCATCCTAACCTGACTCCTCTCGACGTGGAGGAGCAGCTGCTCTACTCAAAGTCCATCCCAGATAGTAGGAGTCACCTCAACGCACGACTCTTGTTACACCCCCAGAAAATGGGTGTAGAATATTAAGAATGCTTGATGAATTAATACTCCAAAGTGTTAGAGTATATTTTCAGCAGTTGTCTCTTTAAGAATCGACTCTCTTTAGATTTTAGCCTCAGAGTGAGTCGCAGAGGTGACAGAGCGATGATTTTCAGCGTCACTTTTTGATTTTTGTTCCTCTGTGTCTTTTTGTCTTTCAATATTTTAACACCCACTTAGTTTCTATCTCTTTTTCAAGCCTTATCTTTTCTCTCCTTCATTCCATCCTTAGTATTGTTGTCATGCCTAATTTCTTATATTGGGCTCTGCGACTGAACCAGACTTGCTGTCTCCTTGAGCTCATCTGAGCAGAACGATCAGTGTGTGTTCGTGCGCGTTTGTGAATGAGGGCATCACGTGTTGGATATCGCATGTTGGGCTCCACACCTCTGCTCCCATTCCTTATTCTCATCTATGATCTCATGCACTCCTGCCTAACCCAAAACCACACCCTGATGTATTCAAAGAAAGACAAAAAAAAAACAAAAGCACACCCTCGCTTAGCTCTGCAGATTCACTCTAACATATATTTATGTTTGCTTTTGCATTTATTCTATTGACGTCAGATCATTATTCTGTTTTTAAAAACAAGCCTTTAAGTCACGCATAAATACGGTAAGCTTCACTGTCACCACCTGTCATGATTTGTATTTATTCAAATGCATCCTAAAAAGTTTTCACGTCAGAGCTTTGGCTTTTCCCCCCATCTCTTTTGTGCTGTACGTCTTTCTTTTCCTCTCTTACTTAGCAACATTTGACCAGCTTTTTTTTTTTTTTACTTCTCTCTTTACTAGATATGTTGTTCCTCCAGGGTTCAGAGGTTATCTTCAAAGTAGCCTTGAGCCTTCTGGGCAGCCACAAGCCTCTGATCCTGCAGCACGACAGCCTGGAGTCCATAGTGGACTTCATAAAGACCACACTGCCCAACCTCGGCCTGGTGCAGATGGAGAAAACCATCAACCAGGTGGGAATAAAGACACTAACCTGGCTCAGTTTAAAACACAACTGCATCTCATTCATCCTTGAATTACATTCAACTTTAAAAGTTTACATTTTCACTTCATATTGTTTTCATTCTTCCCGTAATAACTGATACGGACACACCTTAGTAGCCTAGACTAGTCCGGAAGAATACAGCATTTTACTTTAGTAATTTCAACAGCTCCCATGGAAAGATCAAACAAGCAACAAGTCGGGGCAGGTTAATGTCTGCATGTTCAAGTCCATGTTTGCAGGTTGTAGCCCACACAGTCCTGCAGAAATGCAGCCACTCATCACACCTCAGCAACATAAAATTGCAGCGGACAAATGTTGAATGTTTGCTGTGACTGGATACAATCACGGTTGAGTTAGATTGGGATGAGAATGCAACAGATTGTCAAGTTCAGATGTTTTTACAGAGCCTGTATGAAACGACCACAGTTGGACCAAGTGATTTAAAGCGATCCTCATTTCTTTTAGCTTTTACATTAAATAAAGACCCATTTGTATCTTTCTACGACACAGTGAATAACATGTTAATGGAGGCAAAACACAGACACGGGGTCACCAAGTCCTCCATGAAACAACCATTAGACATTTTATACAAAATCTGGGCTTTACACTGAAATATTGGTCAGTACAGTCAGAAAAAAACAACAACATAAAGTCAAATAAACACAAATATTTCACCAGACACAATCAGCCCTCAGTGGCCATCACCGTCCCCAGACCTAGATCCTACTGATACAGTGAAGAAAGGGGAGAAGAGAGAGATTTTGCGACTCTAGAAAGATGATCTAAAGAGAGTATTCCTAGAGGAAGGATTCCTTTCTCTGTTCGCTCCAATGTTGTGAAATTTTATAGGATGAGACTAAATACGTTCCTGTATTCACAGCAGGAGCTCAAGAACAGTAAACATGACACTGGTGTTTGTTTAAAACAATTATTCTTAATTTTATTTTCTCCTCTGAGTAAATTAACTTTAAGCAAAGTTTAGGTTTTGTAGTTTTCAGTGTAAAATTACAAAACTGCAGTAAACGGGGCTCCACATGGTCTAGAGATGTCGATATTGAAAAAGATGGGTTGGACACATAAATATTTGCCTTCAACATCCGTCCATCGCCAAACAGTTTCAACAATTAATTAATCGTAAAGTCTTGTACTTAAAATGCAAAAATGTGGCTGAAAGGGACCTCATAAAACTTTCGTAAAAAATATTTAGGGAATCCTGTGTAAAATGTTTTTTTTTTTTTTTTTAAATCACCACTTTAATAGGGGTGGCAACCAGTTTGTCCAAATCTATAAGTTTAATAATTTGTCTGGTTTCTGCTCAGGTTTGTCTTTTTTTATTATTGCATATAAATTTAATGAAAAAAAAATAACTTTTGAAGAAACAGCATTTAGAAGTTAGAAATATAACTTTGTAAAGATTTAAGAGTGATTTAGAAAATGACAAACTAAAGCAGCACACAATGAAAAGCATTTATTCTTAGGTTTTAATTTGATGACTCCTGACATTGCTCAGAATCCGCCAATATTCACCTCTCCCGTATTGATTTTAAAGAGCTGCTGCTGAAAGTCATCATAATAAAGTCATTTGTGGGATGTAGAACCAGAATTGGTTGAGTTTGTAAAATTATCCTTCACCACAAATTTGTTTACATTTAAGATCAGAGCAGATTTACAGTTACAACCTTTTTTAAAAAATTTAGAGACACCATTTGTTTGACTTTGCAAAAAAACGTTGCCAGTTTTAGACTTTTTGTGGAGTTTGCTTAAGTCTTAAAGCAAGTATTTGTGAACAATAGGACAGTAAATATCACCTGACTTTTGGTGTTGACTCTGAATCACTCCTGATTGCTGCCTCCGTCATTTTTGAAGGGATTAGATGGATCTTGGCTTACGTCAATTTCACTGTGAAAATTCCTGCAGCGTTTTATTGTGTTTGTTTTTGTCATTTAATACAGGTAACCTTTTAAACTTGCCTCAGTTCCACCTCAGCTCTGAGTGACGGAGGCTCACCTCGGTGTGAGGCACGCCCTGCCTTTCCAGCAGCACTCAGTGCAGCTGTTGGGTGTGTGTCAAGTCATTTAAAGTCGGTGTCATTCCACCGTTTTTAGAAAATACATAAGATCAGGTGAACCAGCTGAATGTTTCCAATTGCTTTCATCCCTCATTCTGTATTTTAGAATGTTAACCTACAACCCGTCAAGCAGCCGAGTTGATGCGCTAATTTAAAGCTGTTGGGTATTACAAACTTAACTTAGCTTCAGGGTTACCTTTGAAATTTGCATGATGTAACAAACTGGTTTCTCACTGGTCATTTCCCTCTAAAGTTGGTTCTCCATTTCACATTGCAGCCAGGTTTGTAGGTGACCAAGTTTCAACTTCAGCACAAAAAGCACCCGGCTACAAGAACTATGATGTATGCAACTTTTAGTTTGGGGGGTTGGTTAAAGTTGTGATGATCTGTGAAACTAGAGGTACATTTTATTGATCCAGATCTGTTGTAATAAACAGATCATCCTACAGGGCTTTAGAGTGAGATCAATTTGATCAGATCAGATCAGATTTCTAAATGTTGCACCTGAAAAAAAAAATCTCATGTCGCAATGGCGCTACCAGTCCTTGGGGGTAATAAAAGACCTGATTGGTAATAAAATATCCGCTTTGAAAACAGACACACTTTGGGACCATGTCTAAACCAATCAGAGATAGTGAAAGGCGGGAACTCCTCTCTGATTGGCCGTGGATCAGACCGTACGTAACTACGTCTGCACCCCGCAGTCAGCGGTGAGTAGGCTAGGCTAGTAGGCTACGAAAGCCAAGTCAGAGTGGATTTTATGTGGTTGAGGAAAGAAAATGTAGAAAAGTTAAGGTCTGAACCATCCGAAAAGTCATTACCATTACTCTATGAGCTACCAACGCCCCTATGTTACGTGAAGTTGTGGTTCGGAAACGGTCTCAGATAACGAGCCACAAATGATCCACTTCGAGCCAAAGCCACTGAAATTAAAAGGGGGAAGTGTTTTAAAGCCAGCGGCTTCGTCAGTTTTGCTGGCCAAGATGCACTAAAGCCAAAAATATAATGCACTTCATTTACTGTAAAGAGTGTCGTGCCACAGTAATTATTAGTTTCTCCTGCGCGCACTGGTCAGGAAGTGCGGGTCCATTTGCGTCTCAGTTCCTACAAACGAGACTTGAAATAGTGAATGTAAACTCGGTTTATAAATATTTACATAACAAATAAACGGCGTTGTGTTCGTTTTGTGATGCGAGATGTATCTGCTGGAAACAACAACAACAAAAAACACGTTCCTGAGTTCATTTGAGAACAACTACTCCTATCAAATATTTTCATAGCCAGATAGACGAAATGAATTAATCATATTAAACACAAAATCCAATAAAGTAAAATCTGAATAAAGTTGCACTTGGGATTATTTGTACTTCTGTCAGATCTAGATTTAAACTCATTCAAGTCAGGTAGGAAATGAGCATCTCTTAATATGTTCTTTTATTTAATGTATCTTGAGATGTAATTCTTCTCCAAATAAGAAACTATTTTCATTTGATTATTAGTCATTTACAGATGAATATTACCTTCATTTGACACTGATTTAAAAAGTCTTATGAAAAATAATTAGACACACCAGTGCAAAAAGTTAGTATAGAGTCCTGGATCATAAATTTTACAAAGAGAAAATAAATATATTTTTCAAATGTTGAATAAAATACCTGGACTTTGTATAAATGGTGCTAAAGTACCAAAGTGTTTAGCGTTATTCTGAGGGACGTTATCCAGAGCTGCTCGTGTCCCACCTCTCACTCAAACTGTGCCTTCTACATAACCCTACTGATTAACAAAGCAAAGCAGAGCGGGAATACATCTACGTCTCAGCTTTAATAATCCAAACAGCTCCTAAATCCTGAGGATAATGAAGAGTAAAGCCTTTAATTATATGTGAGCAACACGGGATGACAGCTGCCTCCCTCCTGAAAGCTTTCTCTCAATCATAGTTTGCTTTTCTCTTCAGAAAGAAGTGTTGGCCTAATTTCAGTGTGACGCCTTGAGTTTGCTGTCCAAAAACACCAAAACACTGCAGCAATGCCATATTTCAATTTGACCCATTTCTACTGTTATTGACTAAAAGAAACACACAGTGTAGCATATCATACACAGTTTGTGTAAATAAATGTACCCTGTGTCAGCTATCTTTCGTAATTCCATATATTTCAGTAGAAACTCGATTGCCTGCTATTAGTAAAACTTTTAATGTTTTAGAAGGTTTGAGTCTTTGGTAAATAGTTTTTGTTGTTGTAGCTGTATTTTTTTTATTTATTTATTTATTTTTTTTACGTCATGGTTTTCGTTTTATCAGGTTTGTGAGATGGATGTGTCCAAGCAGCTGCAGGCCTATGAGGTTGAGTACCACGTGCTGCAGGATGAGCTGCTGGACACGCCCCCAACCCTCAACCAGCAGCAAAGAGCTGCACAGCTGGAGAGGACCAATCAGAGCCTCCGGCAGCAGAACCTGGACCTGTTGGAGGAGCTGCAGGTATGCGGACATACAGAACATGTGAAGATCCACGACTGAAAGCTATGTGTAATCAAACCTCTTCACTCTGTTATGTCTAAGTGAAACCTAGTGCGAGTAAATTGACTTCAAAAGTCACCTAATTATTTGGTTTTGTAAGAATCACAGGTTGCAGACCCCTGACCTTAGCTGACAGGTCAGGAAGTGACAGAGGTCACATTAGATTTAGTTAGTTGTCCTTCATTTTGAGAGACGGTCTCAACAAAATAATAAGTAACTGAACGAGGAGCAGCAGGAGGAATGTGCTCTTTTCAAATCCTTCATAACTCTTCAACGTGCCGTCAGTGATTCGTTTAATTTAGTGTCCAGAGATGATACTCTGATTTTCTTTCTATAGATTGAATTTGTTACACTCTAATTGTACTCTGCATGTAAAGTTGAAAATGTGTCTGTGTCGACACAAAGCTGGTCAGGTGTGTTAATTGCAATACATTAAAATGACGATGGGTAAGGAGAGCCGATCCTTCCCCCCCTCACCTGTCCACTACTTTGTGCTAATCTGTCATATAAAATCCCAACAAAACCGTGAAGTTTGGCTTCGTAACATGACCTAATGTGAAATGTCCAAGAGGCGTGCGCGGTTCTGCTAGAGAGTTTGTTCTCCTGCGCGCTGATCATTCAAGCTGCTGTTCTCTGATGCCGTTTTAACGCAGGTGTCCCACGCGCGAGTCTGCAACCTGGAGAGTCGGGTGGAGGCCCTGGCGCAGTCGGAGGGACAGCTGAAGGAGCAGGTTTCTGCTCTCGAGGAGGAAAAGAAGCAGCTGGCCAGCACCATCGCACACCTCCACAAGCTCCTCACCGAGCTGGGCATCAACGCCGACCTCGACGGGCAGACGCTCCCCTAAGCTCCCCAAAGACGAGACTTTGACCACAGTTTCACAGCCGAACGGCAGCACAGTGGACTCTGTCTGGTTTAAATGCTAATAGCTGCATGTGAACACGGGCAGAATGCAGGAAGAGCGAGGGTTACAGCCCTAAAGGAAGAATTTGTTGAAGTGACTCCTAAATTGGTCTCTCACATCTCCAGTAAATGAGAAAAGGACACAGGATGAGAGGGCTTTCCTTTCCTCTTAAAGATGTAAACAAACCCCCAGTTAGCACTGAGCCTCTGCTGTTCAAACAGAAAACCATCAGATAGATTCTCACCTGTCTGTTTGTTCACAAAGAGCAAGTTTCACACACAGCTTTATTTGTCTGTGTTGGATCCGACCAGGCTGAACCGGCCAAAGAACATCTTGATGCTTTATTTGGAAGAACAAAGACTCCACTACACAGTATTCTGAGACATGATCGCTGTTACACAAAGTTGGTCCCAAAGAAACAAACAAAGCGCGCTGCTTTGTTCTGCCGTGATTAGCCTCCTATAGCGCTGTTTTCGGTTTATCTATTACAAAGGCTGAATGCGACGTTATCTAAACGACGCCGGGTGCTGCTGAAATGTTTAGGTCGGGAGGTGAGCTAGGTTCAGCTATTTTTGATTCTTCCTCGGCGCTTGTAGTTCCTAGCTTCCTGACCGCGTGCATTTTAACTTCATTTAGCGACAGAAGCTCACAGGAAGAGTGATACAATATATCCAGTCCATTTCACATCCTGTTTTTCACCTCTGAATACACTTCGAATCGTGTGCGAGGATGGAGGGCGGGGTGGTGGGGGGTGGGGGTGGGGGGGTTTTGAAACGGTAGCACTCCCCGTCCAGGACGGGGGAAGCCCTAACAGGCTCCTCTAAGTTATTTCCAAAACGACGCTTGGGTGTGACGCCCGCGCCGCTGAGACAATCTGTAGGGTGTAAATGTTTTACTGTATTTTCCCGACACACTGAACTCCTCGGAGCCAAGCTGCAGCTTGGTGCGTCTGTACGTGAACGTCTGAATGTTACTGTTTCTTGTGCACTTCACTGATCCAAAAAGAAAAGCTGTTTATCACTTTGAAGATATTTTTTTTTTTTTGCTTTTACTCTTTTGCACATATTTCCTGTTTTATTGATCTATTGTCAGTCTGTACTTTAAAATACAACTCATTATTATTTCAGCACACATGGAGTCTGTGTTCTTTTCGTGCCTGAGGTTGTCTGCTTACAATAAAGAGTCATGGATCAGATGTAACGTGTCAATTGTCGTAGATTGCCTCCTGTCTAAACACGTCAGTCACTCTCAGTGCCGTGGCTCTGATTGAAGCTTTTTGCATATGGAAACACGCCTCACACACACACACACTCACACACTTATACATCGCTGGAGTTCAGGAGCTCCTGCAGAGGCGTTACAGAGAGCATGCTCAGGCAAGTTGGCTCTCTTGTTAGTGTGCATCTGCTGTAAATTTAATCTGCGTAACCTTGGATCAGTTAAAACAAGCCTCTGAGTTTGTCATGTCGTATGAGAATCTGTTCTCCTGTGAGCCGGAACGCTGCGTCTGTGGGTGGGATGAGGGCTCCTCAAAGTCAACTCAGATGTTCCCAACAAAATATTTTCTCTGGATGCAAGTACATTTCAACATCTTGCGTCTGGTCAGGATGAACAGTCTGAGCTTCAAGTACTTTATGTAGGACACGATCACGTATTAACAGATTTTTATATTTATGGAATCAGCAGTGATCCAGTTCTGCTCCACACTTTCTCTTTAGAGTAAGCCTAACTAAAACATTTTAGGTTTTCAGAAACTTTTGCTTAAGAATTGACAACTTCCTGTTATCCCGTGTTCATCTTGCCGCCCTGCACACTTGATGGTGAAGGAAGTTCACTGCGTTTTGATCCATTGAGGTTGAACTAGTAAACACTCCAGGTGTCTGTAGTGGGAAATACCAGATGTGTAGGTGGAGGGTATCTCATGACCACTGGTGGAGGATCTATGAGGCTCCGGGCCATTCCTCCTGCACAGCTCCTGGGAACCTGTAGAACTCTATGACCTCTTTAAAAAAAAAAAAAAAAAAAAAAACTCGCGGTTTTATGGTAAGTTAAGGTTTGAGTCTGCCAGAAAACTGACAAAAGATCATCATCAGGTCTTTCAGTTAGAAACGCCAAACGCAGAAATGATTTACCAGACAAACAAAAACAAAACAATCCTATTCCATGTCCATCTCTGTCTGCAAACCGAAGTTCTGTAGACAGTCTGTGGGTTGAGGCCAAGAGACCCCGGACTTTGGTAAAGATCCTTTTCTGGAAATACGAGCACAAAAAGACCAATCAGTGATTTTGTTCTTTTCCAAACTGAGTCAAAGTAGAGGTTGACTTTTTTTTTTTCAATGTGTCATTAGGCTACTGCCAGAAAAATAAATTGTATTAGTGGTGTCATTATGATTCAGTGCTTATAAATCTCTGATTCTGAAAGAGTAAATGAAAAAGCTCAGCTCTCTTTACCCATCGTTTTATAGCCCCGCTGCTGTAAAACTGAGTCCTGCTCTTTAATCACAATCAGCTGCTGCCTGTGAAAATGCTATAAAAGCTGATTGTACGCTCACGTTCACACACACACACACACATTACGTATCTAGTGGAGCAAATGAGCAAAAGCAATATGGCCCACACAAAGGCCGGTGAATGAATTTGTTTCACTCCCCAAAAATAGCAACAAAAAAATCTCAAAACATTTTGTTGATACATTTAAAAAGTGACTTTGTTCTTGTCTCTTGAAAATAACATTTTTGAACTTTAATCATTTCTTTGCTGATATACAAACTAGTGTAGATTTATTAATTATGTAATATTTCAAGTCTGTCTTTCTTATTTCTCATATGTCCTATAAATGAAAACTCGAAATTCAGTGTCTCAAAAAATAAGAATGTTGTTAAAGGGTGAATTATAAAAGGTAATTGCTAAAGAAGCTGTTTGTGTTCAGAATGCTGTAGCCAAGCACATTCATAGAAAGTTGAGTGGAAGGAAAAGCTGTAACCGCAGTCTTGCGAAATCTGTTAAAATCATTATAAAAACATTATAAAACTCAAACACTAAACATGGGCTCCAAATGTGGCGTTCCCCGTGCGAAGCCAGGTGTCTCACCTGGACTAAGGAGAAAAAGAACCGAACTGGTTTTCATTTAAAAGTGAACCTTGAATTTCATTTGGAAATCAACATCCCAGAGTCTGGAGGAACAGTTTGTGTTGTTTTTTGTTTTGTTTTTTTACGTTCATTGTGAAGTTTCCACAGTCAGTGATGGTTTGGTGTGACAAAACATGTTGAACTTTTTCATGAAGCTACATTTTTTTATAGCTGTAGGGTTTACAGTTCCAACTTTCTTCTTCTGCTGCTGCCTGACGTTTCCTAATTCTCCACTGACGTGTTCAATATCTGCAGCTCAACATGAGAATGAGGATTGGGACACGGGTAGACCTCGTTGCTCCCGACCTTTGACCTCTTATGTCAGGCCTGATAGAAGCCTCATGCTATTGAGATGATGCTGTAATTGACACCGCCAGTGAACCCAAGAAGGTATTTTTCAGGCACCTCATGTCTTAATCCAGACCAAACACTGAAGCTGAGCGGTGTTTTCCATGGAGCTGCAACAAGAAGAGTCGAGTTCTTGACACAACATCCGGAAGCCGGACACACCTTCCTCTGAGGGTGTGTCTGAATAGCATGACTCCTCCATTTGGGGCCCCACCCTTCAGCCCACCAGAGGCAGCCTCCATCATGCACAAAGCAGCTAATCTGCAGGGATCCTTTGGTTTAACTTCGATTTGCTCAGTGTTGTAACAGCAAACAGAGCATGTGTGTGTCTGAACACTCGCTGTATCACGGCTGCTGCTGTTAAAAGTTGAAAAGGCCACAGGAGGATGGTGGCGCGTTTGAGTCTCAGCATCTGTGGGCAGATGCTCTTCGTTCTCTGGTTGAGTCATCAGGACCGCCTGCTGTCCGGAGTGCCGCCTCAGCTGTGTGTAAACCTCAGTGTGTATGTGTGTATGGGTGAGTGTCTGCACACTGCCAGGACCTGAGTCGGTGCTCCAAGTTTAGTTGTATTTGATTTGGCTTCAGTTTACCCATCCACACTCGCTCAGCCCATCCCTCCGCTGCACTCAGCTCCACCGAACGACTCCGTCCAGAAACCAATACTCTGAGGAGAAGGACTGCTCTGTTTCCTATCCATTACAGTGTAATTAAGTCTTTTACATTGTTTGTGTTTAATATCCTGTTTTTGGATTAGTGTGGCTTTCAGGTTGTTTTCTATTTGCACTCAGTAGTGGGAATTTCCCAGTTCCCAGTCTGGAGTGTCAGCTAAAGCAGGGATGTCTGAACCCGGACAGGGCAGAAATGCCACGTCCACCTTCCCCGCGTTTTACCTGCAAACCAGTGGATTCTTCAATTTGAGCGGTCCAGTTTCCAGCTCTGCAGATAACAGATGCTACGTAGCAACCATGAGCAACATGAGGCACGTTTTACATGCAGGCCAACATGTAAAACATGCAAATGTGTGGTTCAGTGCTAAAACTGCACATCATAATGATGTCATCACAACTAAACATGGTGCAGGCAGCATCATGCTGAGGGTAAGCTCTTATTCAGAAGGGACGCAGAAGCCAGTTAGAGTTGATGGAGCTAAATAGGTAACAATCCGTGGAGAAAACCTGTTGGAGGCAGCAAAAAACTGAATACTGAGATGAAGTTTGACCTTCCTCTATTCATCAGTCAGAATAGTTTAACATAGTCATGTACTATAATGGTCTAGTCAAAGCACAGACATACATCCAATACTTGAAAGGGGGATTCTTGGAAAGTGTGCAGCCATCTGCACTCCTCTGCTACAACTCGTGGTTTTTTTGTGATGAAAATACATTTTTACTGTGACCTTTGACCTGCATAACTGGTGTTGAAAGCGCTGGAGAAGTTAACGAAAATAATCCTTTAACAGGAATGTGGTGAGTTTTTATTTCCACTGGATGTCTTTGCTATGTTTTGCATTTGTAAGCAGCCATGTTGAATTTCAAGGCTTGGGTTGTTGAAACTCCTCCAACCTTTGAATTTAAGATCCTGACTTCAGGTTTAGTTTATTTCTCCCTAACTCGGAAATTTCAATTTCTGAGTACAAACCAGATGCGACATTTTTTTAACAACTCCAATGAAAATATCTAATGTGGCTTCCGTGCCTACAAAATTAAAATAAATGAAATATATCTGTGATAAGGTGTTTATTTTCACTGCTATTATTTGAGGTCTCGTTAAACCAGACGGAGAATAAAAACAATAAAGATAAAACTCAGGAAAAGTCGGATCAGTTCTCTTGGGATGATTAATGTCTTCACTCATTTTCGAAGTAATCAATCTTAAACTGTAGCTTAAGAAGTATCTTCAGATCAGTTGCTCTTGTTAGCTGCAGCTAATTAATGAAAGATTATTCTGATTTGCAGTCATCGGCGGGAGAGCAACAGAAGGCAGAGTCCCTGAAAAACCCCGAGGCGCTGACACAGCACTAATCCTGATAATTTACCTTCAGCTCCGGAGCAGGTCTGCCTGATGTGATGTGAACCACAAGAGCTCAGATCTCTGACAGCTTCTTTGTTCATTTTCTGTTTCTCGTGGCACATAATAATGGTTTGTAACTGCGCCAAGAAAACACAGGTGGAACAAGAAGCTCTGTGCAGAAAACAAAAAAACAGAACCGCTGCCAAAGTTTTCTGTTGCAATCACTGCATCCCAATTCATAGGAGAATTGTTTATTGCTGCTATTTTCTAAAACCTAACATTGGTTGTGTGGCTTAATTTGATAAAATATCTTTTTCTTTTTATCTCCACAGTACGGTGTCTTGATTTGAATTTAGAGCTGCAGGTTGCAGCTGATTCAGAGCAGCTCAAACCTGATCTGAATCAGCACTTATGTGTCGTTTTTAGCCTTTTCCCATGAACTTTGCCCAGTTTAGCTGTTGCCTCATGTATAAATTTGGTGCTTTTTATTTTTTTTATTTATTTATTTTTTACAAACTGAGATCACTTTCTCTGCTACAGAAAAAAATACTGACTTTTAGTAATGACTCCACACTATCCAACTTGAAAACTGTTTCCTTTTATTCACTTTCATCGTCAGTACTTAACACTGTCATTGCAACCTCTTCCAATGGTTTGACACAAATGAGCAAAGCGATTTAATTTTCATTTTCCAGTAGTAACCTGTGC